ACATTATACTCTTTCGGAACATAGTGTTATTCTACTGTACCCGCTCATCGAGTTGTTTCTAATACCTCGACGGCTGTAGTAGAGAAAATTCTGAAAGTTTAAATATGTGATAGGACCTTCGATAGATCAACGAATTAAAACATATGATTAGATTTCGATTATTACAATCGATATTATTCATGCATTTCTTTTCTGCAAGTTTTAAATTATATATCAACCATTCATCTGATGTCGGTGTCTACTCATCACCGATATACGGCGCATATTGCTATTTATTTTCTATTTCTCTGATTTCTTAAGCTTGCAGATATAGCAAATAAAAATATGATTCTTGCCATAATAAAGCATAGTCCACAGATAATAGAGCCGTATCAAATAAGGGATATCTATATCTTTTCACTTCTCGGCAAATGTGAGCAAATGTCTATAGACATTTGCCGAGAAGTGAAAAGATATAGATATCCCTTACTTGATACGGCTCTAATAATAATTGCTACTTTAACGAAACGTAGCCATCAGGCCATGGCAGATTTTGTGAACAAACAACTGAAATTATGAAATGTTGGTTTGACGAATAATCTCGACAAGTTTATGAGACTCACTCAGTTTATTCAGCCCAATCTACCGAGACAAAACATGTACGAAACAGGAATCAAGATACACCAAACAAATAATATCGAAGTCAACACAAAAGTATACATAACAGATAAATCACAATAAACGGGTTGATATTATCTCAGATTTTAGTTTGCGATGAAACAACAGCTTAAAAATCGTGCATTTAATGTTTAGAAAAACAAAGAAGTTAACCTTACTGTTAGCGTAAGTGGAAGAAACATGCTCTTTCTTTCACGCTATCAATTTGGGGGCGCCGGCGTAGCAATTGCCCCTCCTGGAAAAAAAATATCAAGGGCAATAGGCAGTTATTGTCCTGTGAAGAATTATATTTCGCGGCGGTGTATTTTCTTAAAATTCGAGACAAAAACAAAGAACAATCCTTGATTGAAAATTACGTACGTCTCTGAAGGTACGTTTCTGCATGTACCACTCTAAAAAGTTTATTGACCAATTTGAAAAAGTTTCCCGGGCCGCTCATACATATTACAGTTTAGATATGACAAGTTTCTTTGGACAGTCTATAGATTAGAAGGAAAAATCGATGCGAGTAGCAAGCAGTTTGAAAAAGAAAAAATCAGTTTTTATCCTAGAAATAATTGCATATTGTCTTGGGCAAGCATAATATAACGGAGTGACGCTTTTTCCACATGACTATAACTGTTCTCCGAAAGTAAAATACATAATGTCTTGATTCGTGCATCAGTGTGTGTTTCTGCCTCCCGTATCTACGATAAAAAAGTCAACTTATGAGTACTTCTCGTTCACCTTTTACACAGAAAACAGAGGGCGTTATGGAGTGACATTTTTTACCCCTAAATTTCGGGGCTACACCATCCTCTACTTTTCTCTGCAAATGTCCAACCTTTTTCAAAAAACGCATGAAAATATAGTTTGTAGAATACACCTTGAGCTATCTGTTGCTAAAAAGAAAAGTATGTGTATGTACAAGCATATTTTGCCTGTAAAACAATGTTCCGGACGTTACACATTCAAAAGGGTAATGCAGTTTGTAGAGAATTGAATTGTCTATCCAATGAACTTGTTTTCAAAATTTTAATTCGATATAGTAGGTTAGAAAATTCAAATTAAAAATGTAAATTTAACTTTTATCATTTAAAATCCAATTGTCGTTCCTTTTAAAGTTGATATTCGTAATAAGCGCAAAAAGCTGCGTCCAGTGATGTGCTTTTGAAAGTTAGTTCAGAAAAAAAGTTGTTGGAGACTTCAACTATGAAGAGGACCGTTATATGTCGTGCCCAAGTCAAACGGCGTTTTAGCGTGTCGTTACGAAACTTTTTTGATGAAAAAAATCTGTCAGCATATCTATTATTGTCTTATCTTAGTCATATAAAAGAATTAAAAGATAACGTAAATTAATGTTTAACATACTGGGCTAGCCTCCAGACCCTCTAACTTTGCCACCATTGTGGTATCAAAAGACCAGATTATTTCGAAGACGAACCTTGACTACATTAAAATTTTTGTTTTTAATCCAGCCGCGTGCCAAATGGATCTACCGTCTTGTAATTATTTTTAATTTCCAAAGTTCCCACCATAGTCTTGTTCTCAAATCACGTCTCTATAGAGCCATCAAAATGAAGAGAAATTATGAGAAAATACCCGTATGCCCTCGCTGTTCTCCACAAGATCGACGATGTCCTTTTCGTTTGTTATCATGGTGCATACGGCCATCGATGATGTTCCCAATGATAATCAAAATGATAGCAACATAGAAAACTGATGAGCCGATTTGCTTTCGATGTACGTGTTTTTTCCCAGTTCATTATTTCACTAGCATCCTCGTTCGGTTTGTGCGGCAAATATGTTCCAAAATAAAATAATCGAAATGAGCTGAGAAGGGGACAAATAGCCATATAGACTACAACATTGATCGTCTCTACATGCAGTACATGTATCAAAAACTGCGTCCACAATAGTACTTTTACGATTTGTTTAATGGACGAATATTCGTACATAAATTTAGCGTACCATACTGGCAGTGATATAAATCTGCCGTCATGAAAATCAGGGTCTTTACCTACGAGACCGGCGTGATTATGGTGCTGCCAATGTTTCACATACATTCGATTGTAATCAAGCCAAGCATACATCGTAAAACAAACATACCCAATTAAATTATTTAATTTTTGATAACGATAGACAATACATCCGTGCATAGCATCATGGCATGTAATGAATAAACCTGTGTATAAAAACTCTAATATGACAAATGTGAAAATAACATCAAACCAGTGAGATCTATTGCTTTTATGTGTTTTACTTAGATTAATTTGAAATACAGCGTGATACCAAAAGAAACACCACAGTAAAAAAATTGTTAATGCAATACAAATACCATTAACGTTAGATGAGGGAGGTATATAACGAGTATGAGATTTCTTTGATTCTGACTCAAGTTCATTGTCCAATTTAGCTGCTACAGGATAATTTCTGTTCCAATGTTTAAGTATTTCATTAGGACTTTCATTCACTGATTGTGCCATGTTTGGTGTATGAAAATGAATTCCTACTGCTCATACACACACGTTTTCAGGTGAAATATTGTTTTCTGATAAACAGTTTTATCATGTAGCTGTTGACTTCGAATTATGTAAGTGTAAAGTTGGCAAGGCGCAGGAAGAAACAAACATGAAATAATATTCAAGAAAAAACTAAGAAAAACCCACAACTCGTGCGCATGGTCACTTCTCTAAATATCTTGTTAGACGACACTTGGAATTTTAGTGACTGGAATGTGTGCTACTTCTAAGTGTTTCCTTTTCAATAGAAAAGACACGTACATCAGGACAAGTGCCCGATGGTGGTGCCTAACTCCAACATTTTTTTGAGGTTAGCCGCCGATTTAGGGAACATTGGAAAAGATGAATACGGTGTTTTGTAATTACAAGACACCAGGCGTTTTTTCGATGCTGTCGAACACCAATTATTTCTATCGGCGGCGACGGCTTGGGATGGCCCAGGAGTTTTTCGCGCATGGCTGCGGCGGCGCACATGTCTGCAATAGAAGCAATATTTATGTTGCATAAATAAACATTACTTTATGAAGAATATTACAAGATCTTGCAAGAGCATACAAGCAGATTTCGTATGTTCTTGTTTGATATTGTAAGCTCTTATAACAAGAAATTTATACATGATATATTAGATTACAGCTTAGATGAGTTCAGATTTTTCCAACTTTAACTCCACAACTCCAGTTGAAAGTTGTTCCCTTTTCTGTTAGTTTTTGTAAGGTATTGATAACATCGTTAAAAGCTCGCTTCGGAGGTCTTTCCATCGAAAATATGGTTAAGAAAAACGTTTTGTTAATATTTTAGCCAACATTTTAGAAATACATATTCCCGATACGTTAATAAACGTGGTTTAAGTGTATGATGAATTCACTTGGTCCACATACATCTATGATAAAGATAGGTATATTTAAATGACTTCCAGTTCGTCTATATCTAGTGGAAGGAATATTTTATTTCTGTACACGTTTTGTATTCGCTTGTAGATCCAACCCAAAGATATATCTTGCATTAAGTCCATTTTTGTGATGGATAGCTACGCACAAGTACAATATCGTTTGGAAATTTTTACAACTCTGAAAATTTTTTCCTTTTTTGGTTAGCTTTTTAACGTATTGATAACATCGTTAAAAGCTCACTTTGGAGGTCTTTTCGAAAGATTCGAATCTAACAAAACATAACTTTATTTTCATTCGAATGAAAGTGGCTTTCAAGTTTGTTCGTATGACGCAGCAATGGAGTCTCTAGCACTTTTTACTTCTTCATGGTAAGCGTAGCTGAGACCTACTTTGGCCCTTCTTGCCCTCCTCCCTCGACATCTACACTTCAGTTCTTCGAGATCTTGTTATCCCACACACTACTCGACTAGTGTTGCGAAAGGCGCAAGGTATTGACTCTGGACAGGTGGCTTTGCTTGTGGTGGTTTTCTAAAAATCCCGTAAAAATCCTATCGCCTGGCTAGGGTCAGGAACGGAAAAAAATACTAAATTATCCATAAAATGACCTGCTGAATCCGAATTTTAGGTTAGTTTGGATTCAATATTTATGAGCAACTAAGGGTTTTGACGGGATTTTTAGAAAACATGAAGAAGTAAAAAGTGCTAGAGACTTCATTGCTGCGTCATACGAACAAACTTGAAAGCCACTTTCATTCGAATGAAAATAAAGTTATGTTTTGTTAGATTTTGAGCTTGTTCAACACGCTATACAACGAGTGATATCTACTAATGCAGATAGGACCCCCAGTCAAAAATTCTTTTCGAATGTCAGAGGAGAAAATCGTATTTGCGGATATAAATATGCAACTCTGTCGGCTCTTTCCAACTAGTTCTATGAGAACGCTTAATAGTATTAGATAAGGTCGGATTTCGCTGTTCTGACACTCCCATAAACGCTTCCATTCAGAACTTATGGCCGGGAAAAAACCGTGTTCGGAATAATTTTTCCATGGGGTGACAGGGGTCTTTACATACCTTTAGTAGGACTATCGACTGCATATAGTCAAACCTTCCCGACTTTAAGTCGTCTATAAAGTGGGAGGACCTGTACGGAAGTACCTCTTTTGAAAAAACGAGCGTTTTCTAGTTCTAGATTGTTCATAAATTTCTTTTGGCCGATATACAAGGAGATATAATTATTTCTAATATAATATGTTACATGATAGAGAGCAAAGAATGTTACAAGTCTGGTCACACATCAAGCTAAAACTCCACCTTATGGAAGCTCAAACTCAGCTAATAGCATTACTCAATTGTGAATTGTATGAGTAATGTGGGTGTTCAGCCATTAGAATATTCTAGTCCTGGAGAAAAACTGGACACAAGTTTAATATTTGATTCATGATACGAAGTTTTACTATTGTTTATGAAATATTGAAAAAGGATCAAATGTTGTAATTGGAAAGTTAATCGACAAATTAGTATTTCGTACTATTTTCCTCTTTTTATACGTTATATACACATCTATATCTTGTAAATAGTTCACGAGTGCTTACAATGAATATACGGGGAAACCACGCTTGATGGCTGGTTTAAGTATATGATAAATTCACTTGGTCCACATACATCTATGATAAAGAGAGATGTATTTAAATGACTTCCAGTTCGTCTACATTTAGTGGAAGGAATATTCTATTTCCATACACGTTTTGTACTCTCTTGTAGACCCAACCCAAAGATATTTCTTATATTAAGTCCATTTTTTTGATGGATAGCTACGCACAATTACAATATTGAATATACTCTAGATCTCCTTCACGATTTCTTTGTTTTCTATCCACGAAATGAAGTTGATCTTAATATGACATTGATAATATTAATGTTTCGTCGATTACATGTTCCGCTTACACTACATAAAACCGTCGGCCTATCAACAATATTAGTTATTTTTTTAAGCTGTCTGTTAAGTTGCTCAAGTTTGTTCACCATTTGATGTGACCCTGCAGATTTATGTTTCGCCTTCTAGAGCTTTGATTCTACTAAAGTTCAACGTGTAACTATGTCGAGCTCAGATATTTGAACAAACCTCATCAACTGAAAGCATGTAATGGTTTAAAAACACTCGAGAACAGACAATGATAGTCTGCTCGACATTTCAAAGGCAGTCCATTTAACATTGTACAAATTGTATATCGTTGTCCAGGTTCATGTCCAGTTATACTTGAGTTTATGCTTTTCACATTTCTTTTTCTGTGAATGCTCTTTAACTAAGTGATATATTCGCGCTCTTTTTTCCTCTGACAAAGACGCAAGTATTAAATGTGAACTTAAAAAAATAACTAATATTGTTGATAGGCCGACAGTTTTATGTAATGTAAGCGGAGCATGTAATCGACGAAACATTAATGTTATCAATGTCATATTAAGATCAACTT